CCGTGGGAACTCTCCCCATCCCTCACTTGTCCGCCGAACCCTGCACTGCCACTGCCTCCGCATATCGGGAAGTCTGCATCTGGCCCCGAAGAATGACTGGGGAATTCGCGGATACCAAGGTATCGAGCACACGACCAATGATCTCGCGGTTCTGTTGGGAGACGCGGGGCAACTGCTTGGTCATGGGCACCGCTAGGTGCCGCTGGCTTTTGGACATATCCTTCTTGCACTGTGCGACGTCCTGGTCGCGCATCTCGGACGGCTCCTGCTGCAACCGGCTCTTCTTGCGCTCGTCGTCGTCGGCTGCCGCCGCGCCCGACGGCGCGGGCAGACGCGGGGGCCTTCATTAGACGGGGGGGCGGGCGCAGAAGGTGCACCTCGCAGACATGGGAATTAAGCTCGACACTTGCAGGGCAGTGAGCCTGGCAAATGGCGCGCGCCCGCGGATCACGCGTGATATGATCCCGAATCATACGAGAGCGACCCGTCTGACACCTACCATATCTATAAGCTCGTCGGATGTGAGAGCGCGCAAAATCTGCCGATGTAAACGTACTCGAGCAGTTAGGGCACTGGTTGGTAGCGATCGTAGCCGAAACTGTACGTTCATTGTGTCCATGCGTGCGGTGTGCGAGTAGCTGTGCGCACGTACTACACTTGCACGCGCATGTAGCTACTCCCCCAAGATAAGATCGACAGACATACGAATCCTCGCGACATCCCTGATCCTAGAAAATGTCTTGCCACAAAAGACAATCCCAAGTGGTTTGTGACGCGAGAACATCAGCGCGGAGAAGGGCGCTGCCAAATCGAAGAAACTCGTGGCCTGGATCAGAGTTCTCTTCGCAAAAAGCTTGCAAAGAGCCTCCGGTGCCCTGCCAAACCTCAGAAGACGTCTCCGCGCTGCTCAACCCCCTATACATCTCCAAGTCCATGGCGAACTGAACTACCCAGGGATTGGCGTCCGATCGAAAGCGCCCCTCTGAATCCAACGCGTGTCGTTCCCCTCCGAAGTGGGCGAAGAGAGCGGTGAAGGTCTGTCTGTTTGCACGTCGGTGGCGGAGCATCAGTTGCAGCCATCGGGTTCGATGAACAGCTAGCTCTCCCCTGAACGGTAATTCTCCACTCCCGCAGGAGCTCCAAGGTACTCGTAGTTTTGACATGTGGGCCCATCCACGTGATGGCCGAACCTCGCATAAATCTGTTTAAGTACTTGGCTACCGTCGAGTCGATGCGCGCATGCTCCGAAACTCGCAACACATAAAAGCCTCCATTCCTGTCAGCCCGCTCCCGACGACCACGCCGAGATAAATTTCATGGTTAAGATGCCCAAACCCGCGTTCACTCCAGAATCGGCCAGACGTGCCCGCCCGCGTGGCATAGAGAGAATGCGATGCTCTACCTCGGCAGCGCTGTTGTCGCGCATGCTTCATCGAACGCCTAGGCGTCGGGCGCGCAGTCGAACGACTCCGCGGTCCGAGAGGCAAAGATGCTGGAGCTGCTTGTTGAGGTGATCTGAGAAATGGTACCGAAGATATCATGACTGCTCATGTTCCGTGGAAAGCCCCAACTGCCGAACCCATAATTCCCGGTTAGAATCTGCAATGCGCCGTGAGAGTCCGAAACGTCTAGACGACGTTTGCGAAATGAGTCATCAACAAAACCCACGAGAGAACAATGCATGGCGCCGAAGCCTCCAGCCTCGCAGCTGAAGATGAGAGGCGCGTGCGTGGGCGAGGCAGCAAGCTCCTCCACGCGCCCGACGAACTATCGGGGGGCCTCGCAAGACCCCTGTGATCCTCAGTTGTTCGTCATAGTGGCGTTTCGCTTCTTCCACTTCAAGCGCAACAACACTATTAACAACGCGTTGTTCAACAAGCGCATGAATATCATTCCGCACCATGAGGGGATGCAGCTGACGTAACGCTTTTTGTTTGGGACGCATGGAAGCATTCGTCAAATCGTGAACTCGTTTCTGTGGAGAGTGTGAAGACGGCGCAGAGTTCAACCTAGCCTTTGTTGCACCAGGACCGCGCCATCACGCCGCCTATGAGGAAGGAAACCGTGCCACCTACTGGAGAGGCATGATGAATGATGGATAGCCCAGCTTCTTTACCCCGCGAGTAAAGAACCTCAAACAAAAATGTCTTCCAGAACTTATCAGAGAGGTGAACCGTTCTGAGTACGCCAATCTTCTCCTGGCCATCGCGCCTTCCGAGCAATATTCCTTCCGTAATACTAGACCGACCTTCAACTTGTCAAGAGACGTAGAACGATGTTCGCACCCATCTGGAGCTCGAGCGGCATGCTCCGGAAAGTCCTCGCCGGAACGTGGGTCGGACACTTCAAACCAAACCTTGTCTTCAAAACCCACTCCGACATGATGGGGCCTACTCCGAGACAGATGTCCAGGGTCTAGGACAATCAGCGCTCTCTCCACAGACCGACCAGCTCGTAGTGTTTCTGCGTTTGTTACTACGTCGCATCTTCGAGATCACCAGTTCCACCAGGTCTTCAGCCGTACCTCCCATGGAGCGCGTGCGACGCCATGCTCCTGCACCGAACTGCTGTATCAAGAAAGCCTGAACCATCTCATCATACTCTGGGTAGTACGTAGCAGCCATACCCCCCTCCTAACCAGGTCTGCAAACGTGGCCCTGGACTTCCTGGAGATCTGGGCGACAACCTGGAAGGTGTGTGGCCTATTTTGGACCCCAATCGAACGCCCCGAAGCACTTCAGCAAGTCGGTGGACCTCCGTTTTGGTTTTGCCGCAACCTGGCCTCCCGAATGCACTCTACCACGTTATTGCGGCGACGGGCAACTGCAGCGCGTCGTCGTCGTCGCAGCGCATGCGTGATCTGTTTCTCCCAACCATCCTGTGATGTTGGGTCCTCGTTTTGAAAAGACGGCGCCCCGCGTTCCTCCTCCTCTCCTCCTCCTCCCTCCTGCCCCTCCTTGCCTCTGCCCTCCGCACGTCTCTCTGCGTGCACACCCCTCACACGCTTCGTGGCTCCATAGGGAGCTCCACCTAAGGTCCCAGTGGCGGACCTCGCATGGCGGCCTCGGGCCATTTCGGCACACCCCTCACACGTTTCGTGGCCCCACAGGGAGCTCCACCTAAGGTCCCAGTGGCGGAACTCGCATGGCGGCCTCGGGCCATTTCGACACGCCCCTTTCGAGGATCGCGGCCCCGTATGGGGGCTCAACCGGAGGCCCCAGTGGCAGGGTTCGCATGGCGAGGCAACTTCGGCACGCCCCTGACGAAGATCGTGGCCCAATAGGAGTTCCATCGAAGGCGCCAGTGGCAGGGTTCGCATGGCGGCCTCGGGCCATTACGGCCCCCCCCCCACGAGGATCGCGGCCCCGTAGGGAGCTCAACCGAGGGCGCCAGTGGCAAGGTTCGCACGGCGGCCTCGGGCCATTACGGCACACCCCTGACGAAGATCGTGGCCCCATAAGAGTTCCACCGAAGGCGCCAGTGGCAGGGCTCGAATGGCGGCCTCGGGCCTCGGGCCATTTCGGCACACCCCATCACGAGGATCGTGGCCCCATGGGGAGCGCCTCCGAAGGCCCCAGCGGCAGGATTCGCACGGCGGCCTCGGGCCATTTCGGCACACCCATCACGAGGATCGTGGCCCCATAGGAGCTCCACCGAAGGCGCCAGTGGCAGCTTCCCTTATGGCTCTCAGAGCCCTCTCCTGCTTCTGTTTCTCGGTCAGAGGGAGCGCCGTCCTCGTCGTCGTCGGCGCCTGCGAAGACGGCCGCGAACGTGTCCCTGAGCATGTCGGACTCGGGCAGGAAGCCGTGGCCACATAGGGAGCGTGGGCGAAGATGGTATTCACAATTGCAGTATTCACAACTGCGTATGGTTGGGTCTTTCGCCAGGCTAATTGTTTTTAAGCTGTGCAATGCGTTCAAGATGTTCGGCCAGAACCCTTGGAACACACTGGTAACGCCCCCAGAATAAGTGAGCTTCCCAACGATAATCTCTACAGGGTCGAGTGAAGCGAACTCGTTCAGCGCTAAGCCTACGATGTGCACTATCGCGCACGCGTGTGTCCGGGAAGTGCTTGATAGCGATCGCGCCCACAATGTCGAGCCATTCCTTATAGTGGTGATCGGTGTGCGTGTCCTCCTGGGCCTCCCGTAGCTTCCTTCCCTGCCTCTCCAACTCCCCCTCCAACTTCTGATGGAACTCAATGCGGCCCACCCCCTGCCCAAGAGCTTGCGAGAACATGCTGTAGTCCCAGACCGTTCTCTGGGAGGCGATGGACACGAGGTGGAGATGATACCGGAACTCGAGGACGATGGGAAAGTGACCATGGGGCCGAACGTTAGGGATGAGTTGTAATTCCCTCCACGTTCTCCAGGCTACAGAGCATCGTGTGCGATATTAGGGCCCAAGATGCACGGGATAGCAACAAACCCAAAGTGTTGGTGAGGAGGAGCAGGAGGACCAGGAGCAATAGCAGGAGCAATAGCGGGATCAAGAGCAGAGGACGGCAGCGTCCTGAGGGTCTCTGATGCCAGCAGCTACGGCAATGGGAGGAGCAGGAAGAGCAGGAGGAGAGGGATCGTGGACACCCGGGAGCGCGGACCTGATGCAGTTCGCACAGGGTCCCCTTCCTCCTTCCAACCCCCCACCCCTCGTGCCCCTACTCGTTCTGAGTGGCGGCGGTGGGAACAAGAGTTGCACCCCTAGGATCTGGGGGCCGAGAGTCTTCAGCAGAAACGCGCGCGCAGACTGCTGCAATGCCCCAATTCGACCGACCTCGCCCCCCCGTCCGCTTCGATTCGTCTGGCTTCGGCTCGTCCGGGTTTCAGGATGAGACGTTTCGAAAAAGGGCGAAACGAAGGAGGACGAATCGAAAACGAATGAAACAAACACGGACGAACTGAAACTACTACCTCGTCGCCGGTCCTGGCCCGCTGCGCGCTCCGCCGTCGCAGCTCCCACCGAGGGCGGGGGCCCCGTTAAGACGCCGGGCCGCCGGGCGCCTCCAGGTAGGGGTTCTGGAAGTGGGCCAGCAGCAGCTCCCTCACGCACGGCACGTCGCCCTCGCGCGCGCGGCGGCCGGGCTGCACGCAAAGGTATCGGGCGCGCGCTGGCATGCACTCAGGGTCCGTGGATCTGGCGCGTGGGCGCCCGGTCCACGAGTCGAGGCCAGCGCCGCATGATTCAGCGACGGATCGCGCCGCTTTCGTGTGGAAACGGGGCCCGTGGCTGATCTGCGTGCCTCAATCCCTGCTTGCGCTTCCACGAGGAGTCGCCCCAGGCAAGGTAGTGGCCTTTGGTGCGCGACATGCCGACCGCTGCACGCGAGAAGGCGGTGGTGGCCTGCGTGCGTCGGTCTGGGCGCCCCACTCCCCGCAGCCGCGCTCCAAAAAGCCACTCGGGCCAAGGGCCACTCCTTACCGCCCAGAGTCGACCAACATCTCCCTGGCCCTGGATCCTCGAGACTCGATGCTCACGACGACCCCCCTAGGCATGGCCCCCACGCCCTGCCGGGCCCGGACACACCGACCCCTTCCGCGACGAGCCCCTGCTGTGACGACCCTCCTGAGAGCATTTTTAATTCGCGGCGATAACGGGCGTCATGAGGGCGGGACATAACGTCACGCCCCCGCCCCCCACCGTGACAGACCGTGGTGCTGGACCCACTGCGGCAGTGCCGGGGGCGCACTCGGGGGGGTACCGTTACGTCATGGCGGGGGGGGGCGTAGCGCGCGTTATGTGGCCCAGGAGCTAAACAGAACACTCTCCCTCGTCCTCCAGGCCAGCCTCTGGCCGCCTGCCCACGTCTTGATGCGAGGCGAGGGGGCCGTCACGGACGGGGTCGGCCTGCTGAAGGGGCCGGGCGGGGGAAGCCCAGCTGAGCGCAAACCTGGCCCGGCCACTCTGGAAAAACGTACGCTGCATTTTTTAGGGGGGGGGGGGCTTGACGAACCTGCCTCAGCCAATATGTGCCAGGTTCAAGACACAATGAACCAAAAGGTTGCCATCCCTTGGGGGGACATCTTTTACTTCCGCCGGCTTCCGCTAGCGGAGGCGGTATCGTTCTACTTCCGCCACCTTCCGCCGACCTTCCGCTTCCTTCGATCCTCGGAGGCGAGGCCCTTTCTAGAATCCTTCATGTAAGGCCACCTCCAGGGCCGCGAGCGGCTCCCAAACCTGGCTCAGTCCAAATCTGGCTGTGCATCATCTAGCTAATCTAACAGGATCTCTCTCTCTCTGGCTGAGCCCCGCTTGCGCGGAACAGCTGCGAGGCTGGGGGGCCCGTGGGCGCCGCCGCCTTACTGGCTCGCGCACGAGCCCGAGATGTCCCGAGTTCGGGCGCACATGAGGACGGGAATGATCTCATGATAAGATCGGCGGTGGACAAACCTCCCTTTAGTAAACCTCCCCTTAGTGAAAACGGCCTGGGACCGAAACCGACGGACCTGGACCCGCAAAAATGATGGCCGCGACGCCCTCTCGCGAACCGAAAACAGCCAATTCCTTAATCGACGTGTCAGGGTAGGAGGTCTGTCCACCTCCGAATAAGATCGGCCCAGGAAACGTTCCAGGATGTCCAACTGTGTCTAGCGGCCCTCGCTTCTGCACCCCGTACGGAGCATCAGGGAGTCCGGGAACTTCGGAAACCTTGGAACGTGTCATTCTCACGACCTCTTGCTCCTCTGACACAGGCCAGCATGGACTGAGGATCCGTGGATCTGGCGCGTGGGCGCCAGATCCACGGATCGGGGAGAATGTCTCCCGAAGCATGGCGCCAGAGCCGCCCGTCGTGGCGACGGGTGATCCATGCTTGCGCCTCCTCGACGATGGGCTGTCGCCCACTCGCCTCGCGCGGCGGCAGGGCTGGTTACCCGGCGGCCGGCAGGTCCGATGTTCTGCACCCCCGCCCCCTGCCCCCTGCCTCTGCCCCCTGCCCTACCCTGTTCTGCACCCCCGCCCCGGCCCGTGCCCCCCCCCTGCCTCTTCCACATTCCAATCTTTCTGCGTCCCCCTCCTGCTGCGTAGTTGCTCGACGAGCACCATCCTCTCCACTCTCCCAGGATTCTGCCCGAGCGGGTCCCCGATTCGCTTGCAGATTGTTGCTGTTTCACATTGGGTCTCAACTCGTCCCAGCGCGGGCCACATTTCTAGATCTAAGTACTTGGTTGTCGTCGTCGCCCCCTTCCTTTCCCCTCCTCCGCCTTCCCCTGTTCCTCCTGGTCCTCCCGCCTTGCTGCTGCTGCTCCTCCTCCTCCTCCTCCTCCTCCGCCCTTTCCCGCCTCTCCTCAGTCCCTGCCCTCCCTGCTGAATTGATTACCTCTCCTCTTCCCCTCTCTCCTCCCCCTGCCCCCTGGAGCGCTCCAGAGTTTTCGTGGACGCGCGCCTCCGAGCTCGCTGCAGGACGGGGGGGGTGGAGGGCGACGAGGGCCGAGTTTCCGCAGCTGTTCAACTACCACTCCACCCCGACGCAATCTGACCGAACCCCTGCGCTGGCCCCTTTCGCCCCGAAGCTCCCGACCCCGTCCCCAGGGCGCGCTGTCCGCCGCGGGCCGCAGTCATTTACTGCCCTTGGAAGCCGGGGGCCTGGAAGCTGCCCCCCAGAGCAGCCCGCGGCAGCGCCTTCCGCGACGGGCGGGGCCACTCGCCCCTGCCCCTGCCCCTGGGCGTCCGCGCCAGGCGTCCGCTCTTCCCCCCCCCCTGCTCTCACCCTCCCCCTGAGGGGCGACGATCGGGCGGGACTGACCCACGAGGGGGGAGACATCGACTTGGCATCGGCGACGCCTTGCCGATGGGTCGGCGGCGTGCCCTCGATCGCAGAGCCGCGCGCTCCGGGGCGGGCCGGGGCGCCCAGGCCGGAACCAGCCACCGGCAGCTGGCTTTCCTGGCGCCTCCCAGAGCCAGAGGCGGCCGTGCGTCGGGGAGTGTGCTGGGCGGCGGAGCCGAAACCAACTGCGCACCTCAGACTTCGTCCCCAATAGCCTTCCAGATCCCCCCTGCCTTTCGCCCGCCGCGAAGGATCCTCGTCTTCGGGTCGGGACTCCGGCGGCCGTTCGGGACGAGTCGGGCCCTCCTGGAACGCGCTCGGCGAGGCGCAGCTGCTGGAGAGCATTCCGAGGGTCGACAGCCGCTGACGACCGACAACTCTAAGACGCCCCGAAAAAACCTTGAACTGCGAGCTGCGAGGCATCTCCCCCCGCTCGCGCTTACCGCGACTCTGCAGCCGCCCACCCCTCCCGGCGACGCCTCCTGGCTCGCTGGCGCCGAGCCCGCGGACTGGCCCGGAGGCGGGTCCAGCCCCGGTGACATGGGGGCGCGCGCGCGCCCCGCGCGGGCCAGCGCACCGGATGCGGCGCGCGGCTGGCTGCGGGCGGCGTGGGGCTTCTGGGGCCGTCGCGGCTGCGGGCAGGCTGGGGCGGTTGCCTTCCCCGGATGTCCCAAGCACTGACGAAAAACAGATCGCGTACTCTTTCGTTGTCGGCATCCAGGGGCCCCCGCCTGGGCCCTGGGGCCGTCGGACGCAAAGCCAGCCCTGGGGAAATGGAGGCCTCTCAGACGGGGTCATAATCCGATCGGTTCGAAGGATCGCGCCGTATCGCCGACGCATCACAGATTCATCGGCCAAGTTATGGATGGCCTCGGCGATGCATGGGCGCCGTCGGCATGGAGAACATCGGGCTTCGCACCGAGCCGCACCGCCGATGCAGCGGCGATGCGGCGTGATGATCCGACACATCCACTCTCTGATCCCAATCTGGGAGGCCCAATGAAAAATGTCGGGACTTCTGGGTGCTCCGTGGTGAAGAAGTCAGTACAATGTACGCATCAGACAAATCCTGCTATCAAGAATCTCGAGTCACATTCGCCGTCGATCTTTGAGGGTCCTCAGGTGCAACAGAGCTTCCGTGGCTCCCTGGGGCCACCTGGGGATAAGACATCTCCGTGGGCCACCTGCTGGCAGGCCGATGTCTTATTTGACGAGCCTGGTAACCCCACGTAGTCCCGGCTGGCCTCAACAGGCCCCCCCGAGTAGTGAGTAGTCACGGGCGGTCCCTTCACCCCAATCCATGGGGCGCGCCGCGGAGGCGGCGCCAGGGTGTTGAGACCACCCCGAACTGCTCGGGGGGCCTGTTGAGGCCAGCTGGGACTTCCCCTCAAGGCCTGTTGAGGTCAGCCAGGCCTACGTGGGGGGGAGGGGCTGTCTGCGCGCGGCCCGAAGCCTCACCCCAAACGTGCCTAAGAGGAAAAGGTCGGGACGTCCCTGGAGGAGCATAAAACGGCATAGACATAAACTTCCGGAGGTCCGCGCGGACCGTCGAAAATGTATGCTCGCTCCTGTGCTCTTCTTCGAGTCCCGAGGTCTCGTGGTGGAGGAATCGACGCATCGGGTCCCTGGGCATGCAAACCAGGGGGCGAGCGCCATCGGCTGCGCGGGCACAGGCCTTCCTCGTCGCTGCGCCCCGGGGGGCGGGGGCCCGATGCGGCCACATCATGCGTCGAGTGAGGCTGTTTTTCTGGAGACCCCAGCAAGTTGGCACTTCACGCACGTCGAGACGCACTTGCAAGGTACGCCTTTGCGGTCTGGCGTCGCGGAGAGCAGGGGGTGTGCGAAATGCCATGCAAGCAAATTTGCCGGAGTCTACAAAGTAAAACTCTTCCACGTCGTCGTCGTCGTCTTCCTCATCCTTTTCTCCTTATTTTCTTCTCCTCCTCCTCCTCCTCATCATCATCATCATCCTCCTCCTTCATTCCTTCCTCCCTCCTCGCTTCTTCTCTCCCTCCTCCTCCTCCTTTTCCCCCTCCTTATCCTCGTCTCCCTTCTGCTGCTGCTCCTCCTCCTCCTCCTCCCTTCTCCTCTTTGTTTTTCTCCCTCCTCCTCCACCCTCCTCCTCCTCCTCCTCCTCCTTCGCCTTCTCCTTCTCATTCTCTCGCTCTCGTTTTTGTTTGCAAACACGGCATGCATCGTTTCCGACGTCCGACGCCGACGACCTCCTGCTCCTGCTCCTCCAGGCTTCGGGAAAAGGTCAGGACGGGTGCTTCTGTCCAGTTGCAGACGGAGGGGCAAGAGCCAAGAACTCCGCGCAGACGTCCAACAGTTGATATTATGTGTTTCTTCTTCTTCTTCGAAGAAGAAGAACGCCTGCTTCTTCTTCGAAGAAGAAGAAGAACGCCTGAACGTCAAGCGAGACTCACCGTGGAGCTCTCCTGGGACGGGAACAGCGTCATGATGTAATTGGCTCGGGATGCGTTTTGGGAATCCTGGAGTCTCTGGCGGCCCTCGGCCGTTCGTGCTCGCTCATTCGCCCCTGGCCGCGCGGGACAACGCGAAAGCACGGAAGCCTTGGAACGTACATCTCGTTATCACCACTTCTTTTTCCTCTGAGCTCCTTCCCCTCTCCAAACATGTACTGGATCGAATCGCAAAGCCGGGTCGGGTCGGGAACAACTCGGGTCGCCAACGAGTCGTTCTGAATCAACTCGAAATCGGATTGCCGCGCCTGGCTCTGGCTGGCCCAGGCCGATGCCAGTGAATCGAACCGAATCGAATCAAATCGGATCGTAGGCAGCCTTGTTTTCCCCCCTCGCCCCGCGAGCACCCGAGATTCCTGGTGCCACCCTTCTCGCCCCAGTCGTCGAAGTCCGCGCACTCCTTGCTGGCACAAAACTCCTGAGGGGGCCCAGCGGGGGGAGGGTGGCGGGGCGCGCGGACGGCCAGGCGCGGCGGGGAAGCGGGCGCCTTCTCCTTCTTCCTTTTTATCCTCCCCTCCTCCCTCCTCCTCCTCCTCCTTTCTTTCGCAAACGTTCCGCCTCAGGTTAAGCGACCCTCACTGGCCCTCCTCCAGCAGACTAGAGGAAGCAATTGCACACACACAAGCATACACAAGCACACACACACAAACAACAAACGAACAAACAAACACTCACACAAACAAACAAACAACCAACCCACCAACCAAACAAACAAACAACACAGCAAATCAATCAACAAACAACACACACAATCAAACACACAAACAAACAAACAACCAAACCCATAACCAAACAAACAAACAAACAAACAAACAACAAACAAACAACAAACACACCAACACACAAACGCACAAACACACAGAGCGTGTTCCTCTTCCAGTGGTCTGCCATCTGCCAACGACTCAGCGACACCCCGCGGCGTGCCCAGAGGCAGTTTGCGTCCACTGGCGCTGCGCCCTTCTTTTGCCGCGCTGCCGGGCGGCGGGCGGGTTCGCCAACAGCGCAGATCAACCCAGGGGTGGCGGGTCCCTCACTGGACAGCGGCGGCGGCGACGACAGCGACGACAGCGACCACATGCGACGACGGCGATGGCGACGCCGATGGCCGCCGCGATGACGGCGCACGCGGCGGCGACGACGAGGGGAAACCAGGGGGGAATGAGAGGAAGAGGACGCGGTAGCGGCAGGCATGGGGACGGGGACCGACCGACGGGGAGACCACACGGTTGGGGCGCGGGGGTGCCCTGGTCAACGCGCGCTTCACCGCGCCTAGAGCGAAACTAAGCTCGAATGGCAGACAGCAGTTTTGATTTGCCATTCCAAGCAGCTTTTCAGCAATGGCCCCTGGGGGCCCAAGCGTGCCACGATCCTGTCAAACGGGGCGACGCGGGACGCGCGGCCCCCTGGGGCGGATCTGTGCTGCAAGCGGGGGGGCCGCAGCGGTGGCCGCCAGTACCTCTGCCCCACTCAAGCTGCCTCGCGCGCCTCGGCCGCGCTAGAGCCAGCCTCCTCGCCACCGTGACCGCCGCTGCGATGTTTGCGTCTTCCCGCCAGAGCCGCCAGACCTCCGCGGCCAGCGTGCCCTCCCCTGGCGCGCCGACGGTCGCGTCCGCCGCCGCGGCCTCCGCGCCACGCGGGGAAGTGCGCACCTTCAGCATCGCACTCCTGCAGGCACCGTCTGCATCTCAACAATCGTCGGTGACAGAGAACCACCCTTGTAGACGGAGTTGTGCCCAAGGCCGCACTGCCCGGCACGCGAGGGAATGCGCCGCCGCATCGATAGTGACAGCTGCGCCCCTCTGAGCGCACTTGGCACGCTCGCGCGCCTGCCACTGGACCTCCCGAGCGCGGAGGCATGGATCGGCCTCCTCCGGTCAGCCGCGCTTCCAGGCGGGCTTGGTGGAGGTCTCCGGTTGTACAGGGGCAGATGCCCACTTCCGCAGCCCGCGGACCTGGAGGGCCGCCAGATGGCAACAGACAGCTGCCATCCACTAACTGGCGCACGCAGCGGCGACGTCGGACATCCGCCTCGGGTCATAATCCGCCGGCAAGGCTTCGAGTCGCGCCAGGAGAGCCAGTGCGTCACGGAGCGCGCGCGTGCTGAGCCTCCAGGGGCCCACCAACCTCGCGGAGGAGATCCACGCAGGGGACAGGCGAATTGAGCTCGAGCAGCCTGGGCACCCACCTGTCGAACACAGCGTCAAGCCTGGGCGCGAGGTGGCAAAACTGCCTCCACTCGCCGAGCAGGGCGTCGGCATCAGAGGCAACGCCGCAAGCTCACTGCAGCTGTCAGTGCTAACTGGTGCTGTGGTGAGTATTCCACTGTGGGGTGGACCCTGATGGTCAGCCCCTTACTCGATCACCAACATTGCATTGGACAACATCACTCAGTAGAACACTTATGCGCAAAGAAGGGGAGTACATATGTTGAGTGGCCTAAGAGTGTGCAAGGGCTGGCGCAGTCTGCGGTGGCTGGCCCTGTAGTATCAGAAAAACTGATGGTGTGGCAATTCTAAGGCTGCTACCCGTATCTTTTCGTTTCCTCGGGCGGTGACCCCTTCAGCGTACCAGTTCCCAAGGGGGGGGTGCCCAGTCACCGTGGCCACCAGTGTGGCTCTTGTCTCCCCCTCTTAGTTGCAAGGTGTGGCAAGCTGAGAAGGTCAATCACATGAACGAGACGGCTATATGTGGCGGACAAGCGTTGATGTAAAGGTACTGTCAGGCCTAATGTTCGCTGTGCAGGAAGGCCTTAAAATTGTTGAGGCTGGCTTATAATGCATGGCGGGCCTTGTCATGAAAACGTGTGAAATACAATGCCTGGGGCCGCAAGGTGCTGGACATCCCTGCTCCACCACCTCACGATCACCCGCCAATACTGCCACCTAGACTGGATTGGTTGAGTTGCTGTATGTCAAAATCCGCCAGCAGAGATAGCAAAACTAAAGGGACTGCCGAAGTGTGAACAAAGAACACGGTCCGCCAGCAAGCAACAACCACGGGCAAAACAAAGGGGGGGGGAAGGGGCGTTGCCAAGCCGCAAGGAACGATCTTGAACTCACATGCATCAGCAAGCGGAAACACGGGAGCGCACCGTTAGCCAGTCAGCAGCGAGGGACGGCCCCCGAAAGGGGGAGGAGAGGCCGACGACAAACATAAGGAGCGGGAATGGCGAGAGAAGCAGAAGGGACGAGACGGCGGCGATGCCGAACGAAAGAGACGACAACAGGAGGGACCTTTAGCGAGCTTTGCCAAAGGAACTTTTGGTAAAGGACAAACAGTCGGAGGCGGTGCGATCTGTGAAGCTAAGGCCTAGTAAAGTGTAATGCAGATGATGGGAACTGCAGCAGTGTAAAGCCAAGTGCTGTGGGTGGGATTGAGAAGGGAACGCATCAGATGAGAGACGCTGGGTGCAAGCAAACTATGTGAGAAGAGGAACGGCCAATCAGTAATCCTTGTACTGGAGGTGCCTGGAGTGCTTGAGACAACCGATGTGGAAGCTGTGAGGTCGTAAGCAAAGGCCAATCGCTTTTCCATGATGTTACGCGGCACTTGGCGTACCAAAAGCCAAGGAGGTGGAGATATGAGTTCGTAGAAAACCCTAGTACCCAGGTGTCCACTATATCTTACGCCGAGAGTGGTAATCTATCCTCTTGGATGCAATCGTCCAGTGGATGATCTGTGTGGGGGGTCGGTGTTCTACCCCCAGTAGTCTCCACCATGGGCCTGTCTGGTGGGAAACCTTGGCTTAGGTGTTGGTGGGGCTTGGGCATAGTCGAAGCTGCCATGGCCGTCGTAATTGCCTTTTGGCTGCTCTGTTTGTGCATTGCTCCTCCGCCTCCTCCTCCTCCTTCTCCTCGTCGTCGTCCTCCTCCTCCCCCTCCTCCTTATCCCCACTCATCATCGTTTCCTTCATCCTCCTGTACTCCGCCCCACGACGACTTCAGATGATCCAGTATCCACTCAAAACGGACTGGAGATTCTATTCCACATCGCTCCGCACTCCACTGCACTCAGTTCTTTTCTATCAACGATCCTTCTTGTCTCAGCACTAGGGCGCGCGGCGAATCGGGAGACGATACCGCACTGGTGACGGTGGCCGCCCTCTTTCTTTGGGCGCTGCTAGATGCGCACGGTGTCAGGCTGGATGGGGTGGTGAGGGGAGAAGGTGGGAGAGGAGGGCGGGAGGGATGTGGATGAGGAGTGTGGGAAGGATGACGATGAGGAGCGGGGACAGAAGGGCGAGGCGGAATGACGAAGACGGAAGCCCCTCAATGGAACAACGCGCCGTGCCGTCCTCGACTCTACTCGCCACCCGTCCTCGCCAGGATGAACGCCACCACCGTGGACTCCCCTGGGTCCAGGCCGCTGCTGTCGCACAGCTCTGCCACGCTGCGGCGGAACGCCGCCAGTGCCTGCGGCTGGTCCTCCCAGAGGGGCAGGAAGCTGGACTCCATGTAGGTGCTCTCGGGCACGCCAGCGAATGCCGAGAGGCTGGGCACGCTCTCTGGCAGGCCGTGGACGAGGAAAGCGAGGAGCAAGTGCTGCGGGATGCCTTCGGCGAGCCCGTCCAAGTCGGCGCTCTCCAGAGACTGGATGAACACCAGCTTGCGAAACTCCGCGAACACCAGAGCCTCTTGGCGGCGCGCTCTAAGGCAGGGGGCTTTTTAGAAGCCCTCCCAGATTCAATGAAGCCTTCTCAGGAATGGAGGGGGACCATCGAAACGGCAATGCATCGCCGACGGATCGGCGACTGGCCTCCGATAGCGAAGCTGCACTTTCCTGGGCGGGGTGAAGGGGGCCCAGGCCCCGGTTGGCGATAAATGGGCGACTGGGGGTCGATGCCCCCCCCGCCCACCCTGGGCCCGTCGCCTCCTTGTTTCTGGGTCATGGCTCGGCTCTCCGGTGGTCGTTCAAGACGATCTGGGCACCCTCGGAACGCCCTCCGCGAGGCGCCGCTGCTGGACAGCATCCCGAGGATGGGACACCGCCGAAACCGACGAAAACGCTCGAAAACCTCCAACCTCGAACCGGTGAGCCTCGTGCTGCACGTGGGACTGGAACTCGGGGTCGATGGCGCAGAGAGCGGTCTCGAGCGTCTGCATGTCCTGCACCAGCGCGCGCCGCAGCGCCTCGCCGCGGGGCTTCGCGAGCGCGGCGGAGGACAGGAACGACCTGGGGCCGCGTCTGACTTCAGCACTCCGATTGCGCCCCCGCTTGTTAGTGGCGCACACAATCGGGGGTTGCTAATGTGCTCCTGGCAAATCACCACGTCTTCCCTTCTGGTCGGGTCGGCCAACTAGCTCCACCCTGCGCCCCAATTCCTCTTAGCTCAGGTTCCCGCTTGAGCTCTACGAAGCATAAGGGGTTTAGAGAAGAAGCTGGCAGGCAAGGCCAGGCCAGCTTTCTCCCCACGGCTGCCGGGCAGCCCATGGTGTCCCTGGCGCCACTCCCACGCACGCCCTCTGCGCCATCACGCGTGCCACACGATGCACCGACCACCATCACCACCACCACCGCCACCCCCAAGCTTTTAGCTCCATCCTAGGGCCCCTAGGGCCCTCTGGGCGTCGTGAGGGGTGCCCTGGAGGTCGCGGGAGCCTCCCTGGAAGTCCTGGGGACATCTTGGGCCAGGGGCACTTCTGGCAACGCCCGGCGCAAGGGGGTGGCGCAAACACGGAGCAGGATAAATCGGGGATCTCTTAGATCTGGCGCTTCGGGAAATTTACGCGGGGCCGCAGTCGTTCCAGAGGGCTCCGGGGCTTCGTTAGAGCGCTGCTGGACGCTCTGGAACGATTTTCCAAGGTCCTGGGCCTGCCTGAACTCAGAAGCCTGGAGGGTTTCCAAGACGGCTGGGGGCTCTTTAGGAGCCCTCACGGCTTCTAGAGATAGCCTTCTCAGCCTTCTAAGAAGCCCCAGGTCTTCTTAGAAGCCCCCACCCGCCTTCTTAGGTCCCCCCTGCGCCCCCACTTGTGCGCGCCGCCAAGCTTGGCCAGCACAGGGCGGGGTGGGGGTAGAACTTGCCCCCCGTCCCTCCCCATCCTTCGAGCATCATGCGAAGATCTTTACGACTGCAAGGTCCTGGCAGTATGATTGCATACCCGCTTCCGTACAGGCAGGAGCCTCCCTGGAAGTCCTGGGGACATCTTGGGTGCATCCGCAGCCTCGAGGCGCAAACGTAGCCTGAGAGGCGGCGACCGCAGGGAAGCCCAACAGAAGTAGTTGGGAGCTGGGGGATCCGCCAAGCGGGCGGTGGAAGTGGCCACGGCTGGAAGAGCTTGAGAAGCGGCAGTCGACGTAGCAGCGGACGAGGCCAGGGCTGGAAGTGCCAGTGGAAGCGGTCAAAGAAATTCTGGATTGGGACGAACAGAGCTGGGAACAACCGAGGCGATTTGCAGGGAAGGGCCGGCCCAGGCCGCTTCCCAACCTCACCACACGCGCCCTCTCCCGGGCTGCACCCCCCGAAGCCAGAGGTAGCAAGATATTCAGCCGCCCGCCTGATAGCAAGGGTGCACAGCCGCTTCTGGTGCGCCAGCAGTTGCCCGCCGCCGAAGAGCGCCAGGAGGTACTTGCTTGTGTGGCTGGCCGCCTGGCACGCGGCCAGCAGCGACGGCGAGCCCTCCTCCGTGCGCTCGCCGAGGGCCTCCCTGTGGAGGCAGGCGTGTGCGAGCACGCGCTGTAGGGGGCCGAGCGAGGGCATGACGATAGACTCCTGGGTCTGCTGCAGCGTGGTCAGCACCTGGGGCGTGACCACCGTGGCCTGAACGGGCGAGAAGGAGAATGAGGAGAAGGAGGACGAGGAAGAGGAATGCGATAGACACATACGTCAAGGCATCTTGCTGTAAGAGGTCCAGGGGGGCATTCTCCTGCCGTCGATCGTTGAGCTTCCTGAGGTGCCCCAGAGCTTCAATGGGGCCCTGGGGCCATCGGGGGAGGATAACACATTTCCGTGGGGCACCTGCCAGCAGGCCGATTTCGTGTATGTTATGTGCCTACTGTATGAAAATGACGGGAGGAGGAGGCAGGCCACCGAGACCTGAAACCGGTTGGGAATCACATCCTTCAGCAGCGCCAAGGTGTGATGCGCGATGCCGTACAGCCGCGCGTTCCGCGCGTGGCCCGCGGAGGGCATCGGCAGCGGGGAGCGCAGCCTCGGGGGCTCCTCCGTCTCGAAGCAGCCGAGCTCCGCGCAGGACGTGTCGACGATCTGCTCCAGCCTGGTCGTGAAGAAGAGGATCGAGCTGCGCACGTTCCGCACCACGTCCTTCAGCAGCAGCTCGGGGCAGCACTCGCACCGCTCCAGCTCCGAGGCAAGCAGCTGCGCGTAGCGGCGTAGGTCGTGGGAGGTGGGGAGGTCGTGGTCGCTGGCATCACTCCCCTGAGGCAAGATCAGCCAGCATCGACTCCGGACATCGGATCGAATCGGCATGTGCGTCGGCTCGGGCTGCATCGCCCCGAAGTCGAAATCAACTCGGGTTGGCCGCGCCAGGATGCGCAGCAGCGCCATGCAGACATCGGGCTGCATCGGATCGTCGGAACAACTGAATCCAATCGGCTCGAGCGGGCCAGAATCCATCTTGAGTCGGATCGATCGGATCGAAATGGACCCTGCCTGAGGTCCGCCGCCGAAGCGGTCGCCCCCCGACGACATGGACGCCAGCAGCTTGTTGGGCAGCATCATCTCCACCGGCTCCGTCAACCGCTTGATGGACTCCCGGATGAACTCGTCGCGCAGATCGCCGGCCGCCGCCACGAGCAGCGCCCTATCCGCGGCCTTCAGGATCGGCGTGCGCCCGCGGCCGGCCGCCTGCAGCTTGTCCATCGCATCGGTGAGGGCCTGGAGGATCTTGGGGCACTCCGCGACGAGGGCGCGGCCAGAGGTGCGGTCCTGCTGGGCAGCGTTCACAATCGGTCCCTATCCCCACTGGCGTGGCCTGGGCCCCACTGGCGCTGATTCACCCCCCCAGATGGGGACCTCGATCTGCTCGCGTCCCGAAAACAATTCGGACGATTTGTTTGGCAATGTTTTGCGTCTGGAGGCCCTCACTGGGCCCCGGGACCGTCAAACAACGACTGCTCCTGTCCTGGCAAAATTGGGGTCGGGACCTCTGGGGACCCTGTGCTGAAAATGTCCGGGCATCGCATGTCTGGGCTGTTCCCTTTGCGTTTTGAAGGGCCTATCCCCAAACCAGGTGGTCTGGTGGGGCTGGGACAGGGTGGCCTGGTGGGGATGGGGACACGTTAACGATACTGACCTGCGCGACCTTCATGAACTTCGCCCTGATGACGGCAGCGGCGTCCGCCCAGAAGCTGCCAATGAGGGAAGAGACGCCCTCCTCCTCCAGCACGGACGCGAAGCTCCGGTGCGTCAGCGGATCCGTCTTGGCTCGGACCAGCTCGTCGAGCACGTAGACACGGTGCGCCTGTGCAGTCAACACCTGTAAGTTGATCTCCAGCGACTGCTGGAAACCGGCCCCCGCCTGCAAGGGGACCTGCTTCAGCTCCTCTAGCAGCTCCGACAGCACCTGCTGCAGCTGCGCACGGAGGCAGCGCAGACTGAAAAATACCTGCAGTGCCATGCTCAATGCCAGCTGGTTGCCCTGCTTCACGCCGTTCCTGAGGTCCTCATCAGCCTGCTTGCGGACCCGCGCGCTCGTCTCGCGGATCCACGCAACCTCATTACGGAGCAAATCCACGCGCTCCAGGCTGCTGTCCTCCAGCACGAGCTCCAGCTCGTGGATGGTATATGCCGCCTTCGAGAAATCTTTGCCAGGGGCCTCCATCTGTGTGCGCAGCTTGCGCGCGTCGAAGAGGAAACGCAACAGTCGCCGCACGAGCACATTCACGGCCTGAGGGCGCTCATTTGTTACCACGGAGAAGCCAATGCCCCCCCAACTCCCCTTCCCTTCCCCACTCGTGGAAGACGAGGGTTGAGGGAAGCAGGAGGGGGGCGGCATGGGCTTGGGGGTGTAATCCAAATCCCTGGGGCCTGCATTCGCTCCAACAGGATCGCCCGCCTCTTGACGCCCTGAAGACTGACTGCAATCGAGCACGCTTGCGTGACAAGCCCTCTTTTGCGGACCCGAGCAGTTTTACATGGAAGGGTGAAGGATTAGCAAGTGTGCTCGTGTGTGTCGCTTGCGAGATGTGTATGGGTACACGTGCGCGCATCCTGGATGTGCAATTGCTGGCTGTTTTTGCCCGTTCGGCGGGTTGTCTTGCCTATATTTTAACGCCCAGGATAGCTCCCGCATTCCTATCTGCGTATGCGGAGGGATTGTTGATGTTCTCGCATGTCTGCGCATGTGTATTTGCAATGGTGTGCATGCGTGTGTTCGAAGGCTCATACAGTATCGGTTCCGCATGTGCATATGTATCTGGCTCAGCAAATATGGGTGCACATTTGAGTGCGCAGAGTGCGGTGGGGGGCATTGAATAAGAAACCCTTAGATAAGGAATCCAGGGTCTGGAGCCTGGTGGAACTCCAATCGAGGCTTGGCCCTGGATATCACCGCCGCCCTCATCAGACAAGGAACCCTCCAAGATCTGCAGCCGCCTGGGCGCATTCCTTAACCAACGTCCCCGCAGTATGACAACTGATCATGGTCCTTCCTGTTCGTCGTGTGCGTAGTCTGTCCTACCCCTCGGTCGGAAGAAGTGGGTCGAAACATGACGTAGGATTGCGTTGAAAGTGGATTGGGCTTCCGTCCGCCCCCGAAAGAGGAAGGGATAGGGAACACGAATGGAATCTGGGACCCCCAACGTACACACTTCCAACGACCGATGGGCAGCGCCTCTCTTTTAGAAGTGAGGGGCCCCAGAAGCCCGCTTCGGAGCGAGGCGCCAGATTATCTTATCTTGTTAGTCGTCTCCACCGTGTGGGCGTCCGTAGCTCTCGACCCAGCCCCCAGGGCTGGCGCCGCGGGTCTTCGCTCGATGGCCCGAAGCGCATGGAAGCGGCCCGCGGGCGCCGAGATCGCGAAACAACGCAAACAAACGCCCGCCGTTTTCTTGTGTGTTGCTCGTGGCGCCCCGATCATGGGGCGGCTGTGGCCCAGGTTCCTGGTGCTTGTCGCACACGCGCGCCAGACTTCAGCCTGGCACCTGGAAAAGGGCGGTCCCAGCGCTCGCAGGCGGGGCCGCCGAGGGACCGCCGAGGGGCTCCCCAGGGCCCTCGATGGCCTCCGAAGGCCCTCGACGGGCCTCCGAGGGTCTCCGAAGGCCTCTGCGGACATCCCCAGGGCCGTCGAGGGCCTCCGAAGGACCGCGCCCGCGCGCGCCTGGAAGGGCGACAGCACGTCCCCCCGTACGCGGGCGATGGACGCCTTGAGAGCCTCGACGACCTCGCGCACGTCGCCGAGCTGCCCGTCGAGCTCGCTGATGCTCCTCCGGGAGGCGGCCGCGGGCCCCACCCCCACAAGACGCGACCTGGACCCCGGTAGCCTTCAGAAGGGAGTTGGCTTCTCGGCGCACCTCTGTGGAAGTTCGGTTCTTCCTCTTCCTCTTCCTGCACCGCCCGCTCTCGCTACTCTCATTCCGCCTTGCTCCTCCTGCCCCCTCCCCCTCCTCCTCCTTCTTCTCCTCCTCCTCCTCCTTCTCCTCCTCTTCTTTGTCTTCCTCCTCCTCCTCCTCTTTGTCCTCCTCCTCCTCCTCCTTCTCCTCCTCCTCCTCCTCCTCCTCCTCCTCCTCCCTCCCTCCTCCTCCTCCTCCTCCTCCTCCTCCTCTCCTCCTCCTCCTCCCTCCTCCTCCTCCTCCTCCTCCTCTCCTCCTCCTCCCCCTCCTCCTCCTCCTCCTCCTCCTCCTCCTCTTCCACCTCCGCCCCCTCCTCCACTTCCCCCTTATGTTCCTTCGTCCTCTTCTTCTTCTTCTTCTTATTCCTCTTATTATTATTCTTATTATTATTATTACTGGTAGTATGATTGCTATTATCCGTAGTAGTATTATCAGTCGTATTATAATTATTCGTATTATTATTATGACTATTATTATTAGTATTATGATTATTATTATGAGTATGATGAATATTATTAGTATTAGTATTAGTATTCGTATTCGTATTCGTATTCGTATTAGTATTAGTATTAGTATTAGTATTAGTATTAGTATTAGTATTAGTATTAGTATTAGTATTAGTATTAGTATTAGTATTATTATTAGTATTAGTATTAGTATTAGTATTAGTATTAGTATTAGTATTATTATTATTAGTATTATTCGTGTTCTTATTGTTATTATTAGCAATAGTATCACTAGTATAATTAATGATGTTACCACGATTAGAAGTTTTGGTATTAGTTTTATGTTATTAGTAACAATATAGTATTATTCTTAGTATGATTGTTATTATTATTAGTATTATTATTGATATTACTATTACTATCCTTATGAGTATTTGTAGTCGCATTCATATTATTAGTGGCATTAATCTTGGTATTCGTTTTGGTATTATTCGTAGTATTAGTAATGTGGATATTATGATTAGTTTTCGTATTGTTACCACTATTATCATTATTATCAGTATCCTTCTCCTTATCCTTATCCTTCTCTTCCACCTCCACCTCCTTCTCCTCCTCCTCCTCCTCCACATGCTCCTGCTCCTGCTCCTGCTCCTCCCTCCTCCGCCTCCTTTTCCTCATGTTCCTCGTCCTCTTCCTCCTCCTCCTCCTCCGCCTCCTCCTTTTCCTCCCCCTCCTTTTGCGCATACGCTGGAGGATCGGCAACTCCTCATCCTCCTCCCGTTCTCTGCCATTTCCTCCTCCTCATCCTCCCTTCTCCCCCTGCTAGTGTCCCTCCTCCTTTCATCCTCCCCCTCGTCCTCCTCGTATGCACCCCCATCTGGGACGGGGGGGGGGGCATCTGTCTCCACCCCCGTTTCGGCCCCGGGCTCCCCGCGCTCTGCAGCAGCTCCTCGTGGCAGTCCACGATCTTTTGCTGGAGCTCCTCCTCCAGCGAGGAGTGGGCCTCTGCGCCCAGCGACGATGGGGACAGGGGAGGAGGGTGGGGGAAGCAAGGGGAGGGGAGGAAAGGGGAAACTGAGTAGTGGGTGGAGGGTAACGTGGGGGGCAGGGGGGAAAGGAGGGGGGAAATGAAAGGGGGAAACGAGAGGCGGTGGATGGGGTGGAAGGGGGGGGGAACGACGAGGAGCAGGATAAGTGACATTAACCGAGGCGGCCAGTCTCCGACAGGGCGGGGATAGCGCGTCATGGCGCGCGCTTCACTGAACACTGCGCTGGACATCGGTTCTGGATGAGCGCGAAGTAAATCGTGACCATCGGTAAGTCAATCGTGATTTGAATTCGCACTCGTGGCAAGGGATATGGGGAAACCAACGGTGGAAGGGAAGCGGGAGAGGTTGGGACGAATGAAGGGGTGGTGGGAAGAACCGCGGGCAGGTGCCCTACGTCACGGATGTCGTGGAGAGCCTCCTTGACCTTCTTCGCGTACCCTATCAACGGCAGCCCACCGCGACGGGACCGAGCGAACGAGGCCCTGGCCCGCAAGGGCCCACATCGCATCACCAAGTTCGCCACGAGGAGGAGGAGGAGGAGGGGGCCGAGGAGGAGGAGGAGAAGGCAGAGGAAGGAAGGTGATCGCAGAAGGATGGAAGGGGGGAAGCGGGGATGAGCAGGGAATGGGGGGATGGGATGGGGTTGGAAAGAACAGGGGGGCGTGAGGCAGTGAAGGAAAAGGGGGAGGATACGGGGATGGCAGCGAAGGAAGGGGGAAAGGGATTGGGGATAGGACAGAGAAAGCGCACCGCCTCGCGCGGAGTCCGAGTCGAACCCAGAGGAGGCGCAAGCCGCGGGGACGCGCGGCGGCGGGCGCGCGAGCGAGGGCCCGCGGCCTCAGGAGAGGCCGTTGGCGCCATCCAGGGGACTGCACCTCCCTGGTCACCAACGCAATAGAGGCCTAACCCCATCGCCTCGCGGGGGAAAAACCCGCGCCGCCCAGGGAATGCACCTCCTGGCCACTGGCGCCCGCGATGAGGGAGTGGCCTTGACAGTAGACGAGCCGCTCCGAGTACATTTTGTCTTGCACGCTTGCCGCGCTGGTGCTAGTGCCGGCCTAACCCCTCGAGCGCGGGGGGCGCGCGCCCCCGTCCCGAGGCGCTGCGCTGCCAGCCCGGGCCCCTCTGCCAGCCACAGCAGCTCCCTCAGCAAACACGTCGGCCCAGGCCCCAGTCCAGAGGAATGCGCCTCCCAGGCCACCAGGGGCACTGCGCCTCCATCTCCTTGGCCATGTCGACGGCTCGTCGGCCCAGCTGACGCACTTCCCCACGTCGGTCGCCTTGGGCATTCACCAGAGGCTACCCGCAACTCCTTGGCGCCGCACACGCGGGCACCCCTACGGAGCTCCCCCCCGCGCCTAGAAGACGCAGAGGCCGAACTCCGTGTGCGCCGCCCAAGGCAACGCAGCCCCCTGGCCACTGGCGCCGCCCCTGACCCCAGTCCAAGGGAATGCGCCTCCTTAGCTGCGGCAATGCCCTGCAGCCTTGCACGCGCAAGCAGGCCCATGAACAAGTCCCCGGTGTCCATGTGCCTGTTGGCCTGCACCCCTCCATGTCCAAGGTGTCGATGCTTGCGCCAGTTCGCATACTGGCCACCTCTAACACCTTGCCCATGCACGGACACGGCCAGCTCCTGACCTTCAGGCCCGCAGCGACGCACAGCATGGCGCCCCACGCCTCGGCCGCGTGACTGGCCGCGCGCAAGCCCACCACTTCCCATCCATGTAGGTGACCAGTCGCCCCCGAGCTCTGGGGGCAGGCGACCGCAGCGGCAGGAAGGCATTGGGAGTGGCCGCTCTCCCCCCCCTCTCCGCGGCCCGCAATCGCTGCCCCCCCCTGGGCGACGCAGGGAGTGGCCGTCCTCCCACTCGCCCCCGCTGGCCGTCCTGGCTCGGGCCACAACGGTTTGCCCCCTCGGCCGTCGGCGCCCCCCAATGTCCCCGTCGTCCTCGCCCGCGGAGTCGTCGTCGGGCAACGGGCGGTCTGGCGGGGCACTGTCGCCCGACTTCCGGCGCGTGGCGTCGCGCAGCTGGTCGACATGATACTGTAACAACTTGTTGCTGTCTTGATCTCTAGGAGCCCCTCAGATCATCTGGAAGAGCTGGAGCCTGCCGGGCCTGGCCATCGCCCAAGCCAGGCGGCGCAACGCCTCGACCAGGGCCCCCGTCGTCGGCAGCTGCGGGCGTCGCCGCGCGAGGTGTTGTCTGGGGGGGGGCCGTGGCTGAGGGGCGCCTCTGCATGCGGCGCGCGCCACTGCAGCTGGTGCTCCTCGCTGTTGCGACCCCCCCACCCCCTGATGTCGTGCGCCCGTCGAGTCGCTGCCTGGATCACGTCGTCGCGCAATTCGCGGCGCCGCTGCCTGCGCGGAGGAGGCGGAGGTGGAAGCAATCCGATTGAGAACCTGCCCATGATCTCTGACCGTCGACCACCTTTCTGCCCGCAGTTCTGACCATCGTGGCGACGACGCGGCGCAGCAGGCTCGGTGGGCACCTGCAACGCCGCGCTGACATCCCCTTCGCTTTGGCCAGTTTCAGCCTCGCCCGACGCAGGAACAGAAACGTGGCGACGCTGACGCCGTGCAGGCTCAGTGGGCACCCGCACGGCTATGCTAGCACTGCCTGCGTTGCCACCTCTTGTTTCCTAAGCTACCATGGCGACGACGACGGTGCAGGCTCAGTGGGCGCCCGCGCCGCCGTGCTAGCACCGCCCTTTCGCAAGCTCCTTCTGCAGCCAGTGCCACTCCACAATCGCCCTCGCCATCTCGAGAGAAACCTCCACTCTGACTGTCGTGGCGACGATGACGCGATGCAGGCTCAGCGGGCAACTGCACCGCTGTGCTAGCACTCGCCTTCTGTTCGGACTGCCCCACCGCCGTCGAACGTGAACTGGACGAAGAAGCATGCGCCTTGCCGTCGGCCCCGCGCCGCCCAGGAGCATGCACCTTCCTGGCAACTGGCGTCGCGCTGTCCACGGCGAGCTTGATGGCCGCGTTCTGCGCTGCTGCCGCCGGTGGATGGATGCTCCGACGGCCCAGGGCATGTCTTGCGCAGGCCTCGCACCTTGCCGCCGCGAATGCAGAGCTTCGCGCATCTCCTGCAGATCGTGATCGGGCCGAATGCCGCGGGCTTGCGGCCCAGCTGCGCTCTGGAAAAACGCATCGCACACTGTTATGGCTGTCTTTGGCCGTCGGTCGCCTCCACCGCCGAAGCGCTTGCAGGGGCGCGCGCAGGATGGTCTCGAAAGAAAGCGTCCGCAGCCCAACTTTCCACCGGCGTGGGTTCGCAGTGCTTGTACTTTGCCTTGGCGCGTAGGCTCCGAACTGCGTGGTTGGTCCTGGCCGCCGCGCTGCATTGCCTGCACCTTCGCTCGCGAACCGCCTGTGGATCTGGATCGTGCCAGAAGTCTGGGCAAAAACTCCGCTGCCTCCGTCTTCAGCCCCTCGTGGCCCTTGACCTTCTCTTGGGGCCCCAGCTTCTGATCCCGCCCCGCATGGCGCCGCGCGAGCTGCCCCGAAATAGCTGCAGCTCCCACCGCATTCTCGACCCTGTACTTGCAGCCCCGCGCGAAGCTGCCCGCCAAGGTCACATCATGCCGCCCCAGGCCCGCAAAGAAATCCACCCACTGGTCCCCAATCCAGTCGACCAAGTCGCACCCCTTCTCGACGGCCTGATCGCAAGTCAAGCACAACCCTTGCCACAGAAAAAACAAGCTTTGGCCCGCCGCCGCACATGTTGTCGATCTGCCTCCAGAGTCCCGCGCGCCTGGCCTTGGGTCCTGCACTGCGCTTCCAATCCTTCTTTGACTCCCCCACCGAGGAAAGGTGATCGGTGACCGCTGCCGCTGGGGCCGCCGCCGCCTTCAGCGCCTGCGCCGCCGCGTACCTCTCCGAATAGGGCGCCGTCTGGCAACGACCAGGAACTCCACCGCAGCGCGCTCTGCATGGCCAGCCGTCGGGGCCCAACTCCACCACTGCCTATTCACAACGCCTGCGCTCTGGAAGACTGCAATGTGAAGCTGCCCCGTCCTCGTACACCCGATGTCCCCACCTTGTCGCCTGTGGCTGGGCCTTCTCAAGGCCCACTGCTCCTTCGTCTTGTGGTCGACGCCCTTCCTGCCGGCTGTCAACGCCCCAGTAGAAGACCGTCGGGTCGTCCTGCGGCCCGGGGTCGACAAGGATGGCTGGAAGCAGCGTGGCGCACTCGAAAGAGTCGTGGCATGCCACGCCTTCGCCGCTGGAGCTTCGCCTTCTCAGAGAGGTCGACCTCCTCGTCGGGGACCAGCTTGTCGCACTCGCACCACATGTGGCCATGCGACGCGTTTGGGGCCTCGCACGACGGGCAACCAGCACAATCTGGAAGCCCTCGCTGCTGTCGCATGGCCAGGCGCCATGGGGGCGCTGGACCAGACCGCCCGCGCCGCCCCTTGCTGCTGGGGCGGTAGGGCAAGGATATCTCTGCGCATGGCTCGGTGCCACAAGTGCTCGGTCCCCGTGGCTTCTGGGGCGTGGTCCAGCATCCGACTGTGCTGCCAGTTCCTCACCCCCCTCGCTGACCAGCTCCCTCACCTCCTTGGGCGGTGTTGTTAACAATGAGATTACCACGCCTTCTCTTGCCTTGAGTAACGTAGGACTGACCAAATCCCAATCGATACGTGCCAAGGACAACAGAATCGCAACACCCGGGCCTGTACGCGAAACCCAGGAAGGACTCTCCGAGAGCCTCGATCGGATTGCCGACCCAGCGCGCCATAACTCGGCACCCGGTAAACGACCTTCCCACTGCCAGGCCGCGTAGCGCTCCACCAGGTCGGCCGTCGCATCGTACATCGGGCCCATGAACTCCTGCTTCTGCGTGGCCAAGTAGCACGTCAGAGAACTCCCCTTCTGCGGATATCCTGCCACTACACCGGCCAGGCTGCGCAGCTTGACCATCGCCGCGTCCGACACACCAAATGCATTGCCTCCATGCCCCGCTGAAGCGAACACACCCGCTCTCCAGAGTAAGGTCGCTTTGGCTTCAAACCCATTCCGAAGCGTCTTCACCTTGGGCGCCCGATCCTCAGCTCCTTGAAGGCGACGCTTCTCGATGGTCCGTTTCACTCTACTGCCCATGAGCTCGTGTCCCAGGTTACGCGCGTGCTGCTTCGCGTCCATGCCCTGGCGCTGGGAATACTCCTCCAAGGCCTTCCGCGCAACTTCCGAAGTGGCCATGTAGTGTGATTTCTTCCCCCGGACGAACAGCCCCAGCTCCTTGGCCCTCTTGCACAGGTAAAGGGTCGCCTGCAGCGACGTGTCGCCCATCAAATCCCTGGGTTGCACCGACCTGTCGATTCTCTGGGTGTCCTTCAAGCTGCGATATAACAGCACGGCCAACAAGGTCGTGGCATGATTGCGGCCTGCTTAAATACCTTGAAAAACCGGCGACATGCGTGAATGGCTTCCGAAAGCACGCATGTACCTGGGTTGCGAATACTGCATCAAACACCACAGCAACCTCAGGTGGATGATTACCCTCTCCTGGATGTTCACTTTTAGTGGTACGCGCGCACGCGCGCCGCCGATCGCGGCTGGCGCGTTGAGGCCGGCCGCCCCGAGGGCACGCACGCGGCCGGGCGCGGCGCCCAAGGGCGAGCGCGGTTGAACCAACATGGCTACGGACCCTCCACCTCCTGTTCCTCCTCTTGCCTCTCTGTTCCCTTCACCTAGCCCCCTGCCCCCCCCGAGGAAAGCGCCCAGCAGCGGGCCAGGCCAGAAACCAGTTGCACGCGGCAGATTCCGTATCGCCCTTCCCCAATCCCTCATGTTTTTCGCCCGCCCTGTGCAGTATGACCCTCGTCGTTTGACTCTCGGGTCATACCTCAGATCTCCGGCGGCCGTTCAGGACCATTCGGGCCCCCCCGGGACGCTGTCGGCGAGGCGCAGCTGCTGGAACTCACCCTGACATAGGAAAACCGCTGAGGACCGACGAAAACGTCCGAAAACCATGATCGACAGCCACATGTGAACCCTACCCCTCCAGGCCAGATGTACAAAACACCGGCGGGGGTTCCGCATGTGAAGGATGTCGGCAGCCAAGTGGACCCCAGCGGGCGTGTCCGATACCCCAGCCTCGAGTGGACCTGCAGCGGTAGGGGTTCGCATGTGGTCGCGGACTTGAGCCTCGAACACCTCCCTCGCCCGGCCCGACCCAGGATTGACCCGCCCTTCCCCCACCCCCCCGGACGAGCCCCGCCTCCTCCAGCTGGCGCCCGACGCGCGCTGCGCGCTCGTGGCCCTGCCCGGTGGTGTCCCGCACGTAGGCCGCGACGTTGAAGTCGGCCCGGCGGAACGGGTCCATCAGGGGGGTCCGTGCCTGGGGGGCCGCCAGCTACTGAGCACCGTCTGGCCGATCCCTATCCCCGCGGGCGTGGCCTGGGCCCCACTGGCCGAACCCCCCTAGATTGGGATATGGGCTGTTCCCTTCGAATTTCGAGTTTCGAGGGGCATATCCCCAACTGGGGTGGTGGGCTGGTGGGGATCGGGATGAGGATGGGTACGGCAGGTTTGTGTCGCGTTTAAATCTGACACCGCGTGGATCGTTAAACCTTGAACGATCGGCGGGTTTCCGATCGCCAGATCGTTCCATACTGGCCGATTCTGGGCCACTGGCTGCATTCAACCTTGAGCGCCCGCGGCGGGGTCGCCGCCGCGCCAACACGACACGAACCCAGCGTGGGTTCCTGTGTCGCGAAGGACCATCTCCCGCAGCTGACTATCCAAGCGCGCCTCCTGGCGCTGGGAGGCGCCCGCGTATCGATGAGTGCGCCCTGGGGCGGGGCCGAAGCCAGCTGCGTGCAGCCGATTTCGTAATGTCCCCTTTCCCTGTCCCTCCCTTTCCGTTCAGCCCAGGACGCGCTCATGGGGGAGAAAACATAGCCCTTCAATCGGCAAAACATCGCCGATTGATTTAGGCGCCTCCCAGATGGGATCAGAGTTCATTGGATCGAAAGATCGCAATGCATGCCCGATGCATCCATCACCTATGCATCGGCGATGCATCGGCGACGTCTGCATGGAGAATATCGGGCTCCACATCGAGCCGAATCGCCGGCGCATCGGCGATGCGGCGCTATCCTCCGACCCCATTTACTCGGACCCCATCTGGAAGGCCTAAAAGATCGGCGATATGCCTCCAATAGCGAATCCGCACGGTGCAGGGCGCGGCCGGCTATTGGACCCCCCCATCGGCGATGAACGGGCGATGGGGGGTCGATGCGTTCCCCTCCGAGCCCCCCCCCCTAACGTTTACCCTGACTGTCGTGACGACTTTGGAGTTGGTTCCTGGTACCTCGCGAATCGTTCACCTTTGAACGATGGCAGCTGTCCGATAGCGCAAATAGCTCGACATCGGCAGATTCTGGGCCATTGGCAGCGTTCAGCCTTGAACGCCCGCGCTGGGGTCGCCGCCGCGCCGACACGACGCCAACCTAAGATACAATCGTCCTGCGACCATAGGGAACACCTACTGACACGGACCGAAGGTGCTTTTCAGGCCATGTCGAAGCTTGGCTGTGAAAAGTTTCCCAGACCCAGATCAAAAGAACGGCTCGGAAGCCAGAGCCTCTCCTGAACCCAAAGTGGTCCTTGGTTCAGCCTCTTAATTATATACTCGGTACAAGCAAAGAAGACCCAAGGCAAGAGTGAACTCTGGTGCGTGGCTTGCTGACAAGTGTATGCGATGCGGCAGTGGCGGCTTGCGTGCGTGGGTGTGGGCCCCAGCGCCCAGGAAAGCCCCATGCCAGAGGTCACTCCGGCGAAGCGCCACCTCTCACCGATATACCCAGGCCTCCTGTTGTTGCAAGTTCGGCGGCCTTTCCTCGACTTCTGCATCTGGGGGCTTTTACTGCCGACTTGAGCCATCGAAACTGGAACCCGTGCGACAAACTGTGCCCCAGGGAAGTGGTTGAGAAACCCAGGGCCTCTGGTACAGCAACAGCAACAGCAACAGCAACAGCAACAGCAACAGCAACAGAAACAGCAACAACAGCAACAACAACAACAACAACAACAACAGCTTCGAATCAGCTGCATGTTGCTGGTTCTCCTGGCGCAGCCCTGCGCTGGAGGCGTCAGTGTAGCTGTATTCAAAGCCTTCGTATCCTCACCCTCCCCACCCTTTCATATGCCGCCCCGATGTGCACAAGCACCCTCTTGGCCTAGGCTGGAGGGCGTGCACGCGAGCCCTGGTCCAGGATTTTCCGTATTCGGAGGAGGACGAGGGGCCCTGGTTACAAGATTGGTCAAGCCAGGATCGGTGTGAGCGTACGCCCAGAGATCCGACGCGTCGATTTTCTCAACACGGGGCCTCTGGAGCTCTTAACCCCTACCCCTGAGGCAAATTGTCCCGCCCTGTGCTTCAACTGAGAACAGACCGCTGAGACTGAAGGGAATCGTCCCCCAGGAGGTCTGGGCATGACCTACATCGAGAAACATGAACATAAACATACACTTTCGGAACTCCGCGCGGATTACTTGGATCGGCGCTTGGGAGGGAATTCCAGCGCCGATCCAGGAAGTCCGCGCGGACCTCCGAAAATACGTCCCCATGCTGTTCATGTGTGTTTCTTCGATGATCGCCGTCCCCCGAGGTGCCATAAATCCAGACAGTCCTGGGCGGGGTGAGCAATCGGTGGGCCCATCCTCCCTGACGTCGCCCCCGAGGTCTAGGCCCCTTCCCCGGGACCCGTTTCCCATCCCGCACATATTTTTGACGGGCCTGGGGCCCAATGAGGGGCTGGGTGGCCGGAAACTGCCCAGACCCGTCCAGATTGCTTGTTTTCGTGACGCCAGGGTCTGGTCGGCTACACGCAAGAGTGAAGGCAAGAGTGACCTTTGGTGCGCTGCTTTCGGGAGGCGCGGGGAGGCCAAACCCGAGCACGCCAGCCGCTGCTATCGCATCGCATTCAGCCATCTGGAAGGCCCAGTGTGCCTGCGCCAATGGTCACTCTTGCGAAAGGTCACTCTTGCGTGCAACCGATTTGGGAAGGTCTGGGCGTGACCAGCGCCCTTCCCCGAGGTGCCATGATCGCCGCTCGCGGCTCCGCGCGGGCAGGCGAGCTCCTGCGCGGCCCCGCGCCGCCCGCCCCAAGGCGCGGCCGGCGCGGCCGGCCGCCTCTCTGGAGCCAGCACGACGCAGACGGGCCGCGCGCCCATCCTCCGCCCCGCCCTCCCCCCCCAGAGCTCGGCCCTCGGTCTGCTCCTCGATGCTCCTACTCGATCCTCGATCCTCGACCCTCCTCGATCCTCGATCCTCCTGCAACCCCGTGAACTGCAAGGAGCTCTCAGCGCAGAGGCTGCAGGCCGCTCGGATGAGGCAGGTGAGCGCGCGAATCGGCAGAGACGCCCAGAGAGCCCTCCTCCGCACGCTGCTTTCCTCCTCCTCCTCCTCCTCCTCCTCCTCGCCGCTTCGGCTCCTCCTCCGCCTCCTCCTTCTCCTCCTCCTGCTCCGATTCCGCGGCGCGACATGGGGGACCCAGAGGCCCCCACTGGGGGGAAGGCACTCCCCGCCCCCTTGATCTCTCCTTCCGCCTCCTGCTCCGGCTCCTGATCCTGCTCCCTCCTCCAAGTCCGCTGCCACCATCCTCCCTCCGACTCCTCCGTCTCTGCTCCCTCTCCCCACTCCTCCTTCTACTCCTGCTTATTCCGCCTCCTCGTCCTCCTCCTGCTCATCCGTCTCCTCCTCCTCCTCCTGCTCATCCGCCTCCTCCTCCCGCTCCTCCTTTTCCTCCGTCTCCTCCTTCTTCTCCTCCTCCCCCCTGCCCCTCCTCCCCCACTTGGCTCTCTCCCTCCCTCCCCCTCTCCCCGCCGCCCCTCTTCCCTCCCAAAGCCCTGCGGCGGACGTGGAGCAACAGGATGACGGCGCCGCGCGGTCGGCCAGGGAGAGCGCGGCGCGCGCTGGCCTTCCCCCTCACTGCACACATCCGACGTCGTGACTTTGCACCACTTGGTTCCCCAGAGATCTGTCGATCATCCTCACAGCGTGCATAAGAGCCAACGTGTGACTGTCCACCAAGCACTTCAATACGACGCACTCGATTCAACGAGGGCCGACACCGACTGCTCGTTATCGATGGAACCGAACGGGGTAGACACACGCTTGGGCTAACACACGTCCTGAAGATCATCGAGTCTGGACCCAGTCCCGTGTACCGGTGTTTCCTCCTGACTCGTTTTTGCTACGGTCCTGGGACCTGGGGAGGGCCAGTGGAAGCAGACAAACAGCAAACACCATCCGTCGTGATGTTTTCTTTTCCACCAAGAATAGCTGTCGGAGCCGGGATAAGGAACAAAGAATTATAATTCGAGTTTGAATTCGAGTCAGACTTCGACTTAGAGCTACTCACGAATCAGAGGGAGGGGAGAAAGGAGGAGAAGGAAGAGGAGGAGGAGGAGGAGGAGGAGGAGGAGGAGAAGGAGGAGGAGGAGGAGGAAAACGAGGAGGAGGAGGAGACAAGGTAGGGGAGGGGGGAGGAGGAGGAGGAGGAGGAGGAGGAGGAGGAGGAGGAGGAGGAGGAGGAGGAGGAGGAGGAGGAGGAAGAGGGGGAGGAAGAGGAGGAGGAGGAGGAGGAGGAGGAGCGACCGTACCAAGAAGGAACGAGACGAGGGCAGGCGGGCAAGACGCGAGAAGAGGGCAAGTGTCCGCGTGTCCGCTTGTCTCGTCTATGGCCGCATCGCATGCAGTGCAGCAGCTAGGCACTCAGTGCCTGTAGTGTAAAGAAGCGCGGCGCGGGGCGCGGCGTGCGTAATGATACGCTGTTTGCTGTAGAAGTGAAATGAAAGTGCTGTCCTGCGAACAGCTTCTGAAACTGTGTGCTCTGGGTTTGCGTGTTGCTCTGACGTCCCTAGGCCAATTCGCACGAGGGGGTCCGAGGAGAGAAAGGAACGAGGTAACGCGAGGAAGTGAAGAAGGCGAGGACAGGTGAGGTAGTGGCCGAGACGGTCAGGGCAAGCTTCGCACCCGAGCAGACACGTGCGGCGCGGTCCAAATGGGAATCGGTGACTGGTCCACCATGCTCCCGCTAGCGTTTTAAAGACAGCCCAGCGGATGGCTGGAGCTTTCTTTGAAAGGTATTCTGATAGCTCCTTCCAGCGGGTTGGTCGGGCTGGGGGGAGCACGATTTCTGGGAGAGCCGACGAGAGGCGGCGCGCTCGGGTCTCTGCGAACTTGTCGGGGTAGAGGGAGGCGTGGAGGACCGAGGCAAGAGTTCGCTGGACCCTAGAGCGGCGCGCTTCGTTGGTGGCAGCAGCGTGCTCGTCTGCAGCGGCTTGTTGCGCCGAGCGCCAGATGGGCAGTGAAACGTCGTATGGCGGCTG